GACTGATGAAGTATGGGGGGTATTCGCACCTGATACACCAGTGAAATACCCTATTGATCCATCAGCATCCACCATCTGGATGCCTCCTATAGAGTGGGGGCTGTAAGGAAACACAAACCCGTGTGGTGGAGCCATCTACAATAGACAAAACAAGACACACCAACAAAACACACCATAAAACACAAACCCATTGCAAACTATCAAACAACCATAAAACAAAACTTAAAATACTAAACGGAAGATAACCTGAGAATATGAAGGTGTATCATATGAAGGTGTACACGGTGAATCATTTTCAACCTGTGAGGATTTTTTTGTATTTCTCTTGTTGTTTGTCTTACCCCCTTTTGTAGTCTTCTCAACACAAGAAGGGAATCTCACAGCAGTTGTTCTGTGAGCAGGTCTTTTCGGCATTGGGGGGTCCTTTGGTACCTCAGAGCAGCTACCTTGTCTCTGTGTGGAAGGGGTAACAGGAGTTCCCTTCTCCCCTCGTCCTTCTCCTTGTGCGTTACTACCATTGATCATCGATAGCTTTTCATCCACTTGAATTTCTAATAATTGCAGGCTTTGCATCACTAGATCAGTTGTGGTTTTATAAACACAGGTCTTCGTGCTAAGTGAACCAAACTTGACCATCATTTTATCATACCTACAAACCTCGTCAGTCTTGTTTGGGTCATGGTAAGCAACCTTAACCCTTGTGTGCTTCCTAATCACATCTTTCCTCCAACGCCTAAGAATGAATTTGTCAGGTATCTCATAGTGATCATTCAGCTCGTAAACCTTGATGATGTGACGACAAATAATACCGTGGCATTCAAAGTGCTTGCAGTCGCAACTAGCTTCTTTAGAAACACAATCGAAGGTTATTTTGTATCTCCGCTTCCGCTTTGAAGGTTTCTCCTTCGTACAGTTTTTCGGCTTGTACCAAACTCTATCCTCAACCACATGCTCAATGATACTCTCAGAAACAAGTCCTTTTTCAATTGGACTAACATAAAGGGACCGGCTACATTCACGCTGGACTTCTTTAAATTTTGCATCGGTATAGATCTTTTGGAATATAAGCTCAGCTGGGAAGTCACTGTAAGCCTTCCTCACATATCTCGCATTGTTATCATCAGCTTTCTTTTCAGCTGTAGCTCTAACCTCAGGAGCCTCAACGTAACGCTCAACAAATTCATGCAGCAGGGTGTGTCTACTTAGAAATCCATCAAAGAAGCTGTGAATGCTTTCCACTCTCTGCGTGGTCCTCATCCCAGCTCAAAACAAATGTTTGACAAACGTTGGAACCCACATTGCTCGTTCTTCATACAACCCTGACAAACAACAATTATAATTACTAAAACTACATTAAAACCAGACATGCTGCAAAATTGATGACTCAAAAAATTAAAAATATAAAAACGACAAAATCAGCATTTCATATTACAAAACACCAACACAAACATTTTGCTCGAAGACAGCATTTCAAAATACAAAACACCAACACAAAACTACACTAGAATAAAAATATGTCTCCAATTCAACTAAATTTTAACAGATGAACTAAGCTTAGTTTGCAAATGGTGCACATTCACGTTTACTTACCTACCAACCATTCATCATCTTCAACTTCGAATTTCTTGATAACGTCACGCCAACGTTCTTCATATTCCTCACAATCAAGACTATCATAAATAGCATGCTTCAGCGCCTCCTTCAGCTCCTGGTACTTCACATGCTTGCCTAACTTCTTTCCAAACTTGTTAATGATGTGCCAAATGCACCATCTATGGGTCGTTCCTTTCATAACAACCTTCAGAGCTTTCCTCATTGCCGGATCCTGGTCAGTAAGGATCCCAATAGGTTCTTTGTCGCCCATGCATCGAAGCCAATTTGAGAACACCCATTCAAAAGTCTCAGCATTCTCACGGGTGACAAGCGCACATCCAAAAAGAATGGTTTGACCATGATGGTTCACTCCTACAAAGTTGCAAAAAGGAAGTTTGTATTCATTAGTCAAATAAGTGGAATCAAATACAACTACATCCCCAAACTCTTCGTAAGCCACCCTACTCCTTGCGTCTACCCACAACACATCCTTAAGCCTTCCTTCTTCATCAACTCGATATGTGTGAAAGAAATTTGAATTGTCATCAACCATTCTCTTAAAGTAAGCAAACATGGCTTTTGCATCACCTTCTTCAAATACCCTTTTCCTTTCCTTAGACACTTCAAGTAAGTCTTTTTGCTCAAACTGCATCCCCTCCAACCCATTCCTGTGCCGAGCCATACTTCTGTAAATAGTAGAAACTGGCACCCCTGCTTTTCTTTCTTGAAATAGCTGCTTCACAATATGGGGATTTTCAACCAAAAAATTCTTCCGAAATTTACTTATACTCTTCGCTTTACTAGGGGTTGGACTATGCCCATCATGTTCCATTTTTGCCTTTGTTATCTCCCACTGACCTACACCATTCACATGTGCATATACAAACACAGGACATTCACATTTTTTTGACTTTCTCTTGGGACACAACTCTTCATCCTCACTGATTTGAGCATCTGTGACTAAACCTACTTCACTCTTTTTCCTCTTTCGACCAGGCCTTCCATAGCTTTCACATGTCCACCTACAATTCCTCTTTGCCCCTTTTCCATTATTTGCACCGCTTGCACGCACAACACCAAACCCATTTTGCTGCCCATATTCCCTAAAATACTTATCCACTTCTATCATGGACTCAAAAACCATTCCAATGGATGAAGGTGGCAAAGCAACATCCATCTCCACTTCACCAGCCTCCTCAATCTGAATACTGATGGAGACATTGCCCTTCCCTTTCGTTGGAGTCTTAAAGGACTCCTCCCCTACAATTACCTAGTACACCATAACATAATACATTCACCTCACAAAGGTCAGCATTAAACATTAGGTCTAAAAATTTTGAGCACTTAACAATAACATATACTCACACAACTAGTCGGAATAAGTAAAACGAAAAGTACATGATCATCTAACAAAGAGCACTGAGTACAGGGAGGACGATGCAATTCTGAGCAATTACATGACATACCAATACAACCAATCAAGTTACATGTATATATTGCAAATTTCTCATACAATTGCGCAGCACAACGAAGTCAATTATGCAACTTTTCATACGATTGTAAATTTACAAACCCTAATTTCCCCTTCCCCCCAATTTTCAGACAAACCCAGAATTACATATCCAAATTAAAGCAATTAAACAGTCACCTGATTTAAAAGCAACTTCAATGCTGCTGCGCAGTCCACTTCACCACAGTCGTCATCTACGGCCTCTGGGATGCTCGGACCTAACTCACCACCGCTGTTGTACCGCTCGATATCCTCAGTTGTTTCCAGATACTCCATTACACTCCAACTGAGAATACTGTAACTTTTTCTTTATTTTTTAAACTCCATTTTTAAGGTTTTTTGGAGCTCAACAATGGAAGAAAAGCTGGTGAGCTTTTCGACATTAACTTTTAGAGGAAGAAGCTTCTTTTTTTCAAAATTACAGTGGGTCTCTCTCTCAGGAAGTACAACTGGTGGGGAAGGGTGAATTGTTTTTTTTTTAATCAGCTATGGGTCCCACACCGTTACACATTTTTTACTATTCCGTTCACCTTTTCCCTCCATTTCCACAAACCGTTACAATAAAGTTGCTCTTTATTTACAATTTTTCCATGTTATGCACTTGCATATACATATCAAACCTCATTTAGTGCTTCCTCCCAAAATACAGTATTACAGCCTCAAAAGTTAAAAATCTCCTGTCTAACAGAGATTATGCATGCATCTTCCATCTTTTAGCTGAAGTTCTTGTGATCACATTTTATTTGTTATTCTTGCTTGCGAAGAACTCATCTCTTTAAACAAAAGAAAAAAAATGAAGGGTTCAACTGAGATTGAGAAGGGTACCATTTGATGGTGTTACTAATTATACTCACCTTATAAAGTGGATGTTAATAAATAACCTTTGGCTTCCTTTGGATTAGTACTTGTACACTTAGTTATGGGGACTAACTGATTAGTACCAAAGAAATGATTTTAACAATCTTACACCTGAGAAATTGATACTCAAATATAGAGTTTGTATTTGCACTTGAGCACAAAATTGTCCTCTTACTTCAGAACACCATAGCAAGAATAAGTTGTCCACTAGTACTGTTTCGAGATCAGTCGTTCCTGCTATTATTTTGTTCATAGAACACTCTTTGAATGTGTGTAGGGCTGCAAACGATTCGGGCCGAGCCGAGTTTTAGTCTTTTCGAACTAAGCTTGATAAAAAATATTCGTGTTCGAACTATCTTGAGCTTGAACGAGCTTTTAAAAATCTTGTTCGAGCTGGACTCATTAAGAATATGGCTTGTTTGAGCTTTGTTCACGAACGCACTCGTTTGCATTTCGAGTTTAAGTTCGAGCTTGATCGGGTCTAAATCGGGCTTGATTAAATAAAAAAAAGCATTAATTTATCATCAAAAAATGGTTTCTTTTAAATTTTAACACATCCATTTAATTTTATATAAAATGTTTATATTCTTTTTATAGAAAAAGGTAATCCTAGAGTTTTCATGCTTTTATATGATGAAATAATTAGTTTTTATACAAATATGTATGAATAAAAGATATCTAAATTTTTCAAATTTTAATTGGGCGTGAAAAAACTTATAAATTGACTTAAACGAGTTGTTTATGAACATTACCGAGTCGAACATGATGCTGTTCGAGCTTTGTTCACCTATTTGACGAGCTTAATATTTTTGTTCAAGTTTGTTTGTTAGCTTAACAAAAGAGTTTTGACCAAGCTTTGATCGAGCTTGTTCACAAGTAGTTCACAAACGTATCGGTTCATTTACACGGTTACACCCCTAAATGTGTGGCTGGTGAAACTCTTTTTGACACTGTAAGACTTGTGATAATTACGTTCGTTAATCCTTTTGTGGTGCTTCCTATAGTGAACAATTATTTGAGGAAAATCGTACACCAGTCATGAATAAAGTTGCTTCCTGCTCAGATTGTGATGTATGTTGCTTTCAGGTCCAGGGAAGCAATGTACATAAATTGAACTTCATATGTACCTTTTACAATACTTTTCAACTGTATACAACTACGCTTTTATCTACATAAGAAAAAGCAAGTCAAGGCACAATAGCGCAATATAGCTTGTAACTTCCATTAGCATTATATCGGATACTATAATTGGTGATGCATAGCAGTATAGTGAATCTTTGAAGATATTTGTATGACGAACTATCCTGAACAGGCAACACTGAATATATATGATTTAACACAGAAGATCAGAGATAGTCCTTAATCGTTATTAGCTTTCATCCTCGATCACATCTTCTGGTTCTTGTAGGTGCTCTTTAAGAGGTTGCCCTATGATCTCCCACTTTTCCCTACTCCAAGCAGAGTCAACTTCTGGCAACTCATAATCATCTGGTCTCAACGACAATTGGAACTCAGGCAGCTCGGGTGGTGGCTGTAGGCCCCTGCACAATACAAACTCACCCATGTTTTAAAATCGAGAAAACAGGAAAAATAAATTATATGAACAGGAAGTTAGAAAACAAAGAATGAAGCGCGTGTAGATAGTTACATACTTTTCTTGATCAAACATGTAACTGTACAGCTGAGACTTCTTGGAAGCGGTTTCTGGAATCTTTTGATGGAAATGCTTCATTGCACCCCAGAGTGGAGGAACTCTATACAGGGGAAACAGGGCCAGAAAAAATGTTGCTGTTATAAACTTTCGGATATTTCCCTTTTTCTGCTACCAATTTAGGCCAGTTCTAGAGCACCTAATCTTAAGAAGTTAAATGTCATGCCTAAGTGGTAATGAATAAAAATTTAAGCATTTTTGTGGTTTTTAAAACCCAGAGTTTTATTCTAGACAATTTTATATGCAAAGTATAAGGTGCTTATAATAATACCTGTTAACAGGAGAAGCCAAGCAAAAGCTTAAACAGGCTTTTCTGCTTTCCACCAAAAGTTCCTCAGCAGCAACATAACTGCTTAGTGCATTCGTATGGGACAATGGCTCATTACTTTTCTCAACGATCAAACCGTGGTAGAAGTACGCTGCAGCCTGATAATAATCAAGTTCAGCTCCTAATCAATATTAGAACAAAATTGTGCAGTTCTTTTTATATAAAACAAGGATGTCAATAATACATTTAATGAGTAAAGAAGAAAAAACTAAAATAAAAAAAGGGAAATTCTCTGTGTCTCATGGTGAGAAACGAAATTTATTTCTCATGGGGGCATTTTCGTGAATAAATCAACAACTTTTTCATTATCGTGGGCTCCACATTTGAATAAAGTTATTGGTTTATTTACGAAAATGTCATATGAGAAACAAAATTTGTTTCTCACCACGAGAAACTGGGGCATCCTCATAAAAAAACAAGTACCTTGGCTTCTAAAAATTTGTATTTGATGAACAATGATTGCTTTCCTGCATCACTGTCATTGGTTTTTTCTCCTGACAGTGAGCAATGAGCCTGTAAGTTTTTAACATATTGTCAAATTTTAAGGTTGGTTCATCGATCTGTTAAATACTGAAATCCTTATTGAAACAAAACTATGAATTTGGGAAATGTGCACACTACTAGAACTTTTACCTGAGTGAAGAAGGTCTGCTCCTCGCATGCTAACCTCCTCTTTACTGATAACGTGGCCTTTTGGTTATCAATAGCCAACCCCAACTGCAATTCTGTTCCCTGGATTCACTTCCAAGGTGAGTATTAGTGCGATTAACTTCTAGATGGCCTATACTAACAATTATATCCCAAAAATGAATTAGCTACAGCAGAAAGCCGAGTAGACAAATAACATGATTTTTCATGCCCAGCAACCTGATAATTGAAGTCCAAATACATGACAAACTAGAAGTACCTGGCCGAGTGCTTGTAGGGAAAGAGCCTCTAATGCACCTTCACGCATGTCTTTGTGCAACTTGTTCCTGGTGGAAAGATCTTTCATATCATAAAACTGCTGGTACAGTTACCTTAGCAGCACTATAAGAGAAATGAAATGCTTTCACATACTTGATTTCCAGTCCTAATTGAGGTAGAATACTCTTCACACAAAAATCTAAGTACCCTGATGCCTTTAGAAGCAAATCAATCGCATCCCTCTGGCAATCTGTTAGATTTACATCCATGATCAAGCAAAATTATTTACTTTACTTTCTTTTTAAGCTCGAAATTTGACTGTTTAATCAAGACGTATACCTGTAGAAACTATCCTATCAGTAGAACCAGTGTATTGCTTAGGAACAAGCAACATGTTGGCTTCAACCAATGTCAAAACCGCCATCATATAAACCACGGATAATACTTCATACCATGTATTTGATACACAAATTTCCTGCTTACAAAAATCAACAATATAATCCCAAATTAATAAAAATTAGATCACAGTATAGACCAATAAGTATCACTATATCAATGAATCAGTGAAAGCTTTTAGTCATTTTCTTACTTGTCTTTTGTCATCCAAATTTCTCCATTTGAATGGCACTACATCTAATGCACCATAATCTATTGCAAACAAAAGAACAAAAATGAGTTAACAATATAATAACAACAAAGAAAAGTAGCTTAGAAAAATATGATTAAATTAGAAATAAAACCTTTTTTAGCGAGTCCAAGCAGGACAGGCAAGTACTCCTCCAGAGCCTGCTTAATCTCTGGAATAGCCGAAACATCTGCATAACAAACATGATCTAAGATTTCTAGTATAGCTCATAAATTCCAATCAAATGAAAAAATCACACAATGATCTTACAGACCAGTGTCTTCAGAGAGTAAGATGACACGATTTCGAAAATCGACAAGACGGTCAATCATATCCTTAGGAATCAACCCTTTAAGCCCTTTATGAAGCTCAGATTGTACTGGAATTTGCATAGTTGGAACAAACACAACGACTTCAGCAATCATCATCTTCTTCTTTTTTCCTCCAGTATGAAGTATTGAAGAAGTGCAGCCCATTATAAAGCCCTTTTCAAGGAAGGCAACACCTGTATTAATTATAATCAATAAATTGCAATTTTTGTGCTTTATTTGTTAAACGTAATCCATAAAACATCACAATCATATCATAAACTAATAAATTTTGAAGGGTTCTACCAAATATAATGAGTCTAGGTATAGTTAAAAATTGTATAAACGGATGAGATTAGCTAAACTAAAAGTAAAATTAGCTATCAACAAATTCTGATTAACAGATGGCAGAATTACATAGGAAAGTGTAGACGTTTGCAAAATTTTATATCTAGTCAATAAAAAGTTGACCCAGATTACAAAACCGTCCATCTTTAAAAGATACAGACGTGATATAAGAGATTAGAATAGTCGGTTAGCTCTCTGACTTCAACCAAACTCGAAAATTTATCGAATCTAGTTATACACGGGATATTCTTAATTTCCCTCCAATAACACGAAAATGACCAAGTACGAGAACAAATTTTTAGTTGGTCATTCTAACTTTCTAAGACCATGTAATGTGCAAAGATAGTTAAGTGTACTCGGAAACATAATGGACATACGAACATTACGAGATAAGAAAAAAAAACAAAAAAAAAAAAAAAAAAAAAACACCTTACGATGAGTATCCAAATGAAGACAGGAGAGAAGAATTTGAGAAGTTTGGAGGGAAGAATTTAATGGAAATTGAATCGATAAAAAAAGAAAAAGAATCAGAATAAAAATAGTGTGAAAGAGGGGTTCAGTAATCGAGACAGAAATCACATGGCAAATGCGTAGGAAATGAAGTAATAGATCGGCAGAAGCACAGGTTTAAGAGTGCATGATTAGAATGGATTCCATTATTTTTTGGGATCTTAAATTTTGGCATTTTCAATTGCAAGCTGTTCAAATTTAAATGTTAAATTGTACATGATAATTATTGGTACTTAATACTCCCTCCGTCCCCGAATGATAGTCACTATTTCCATTTTTGGACACCCAAAATGTTAGTCACATTTCACAATTTTAGGTCCCATACAATAACACAAAATGACCTATGTACCCTCATTTTTTTTGGATGTATTATCTGTGCTTCCCAAAACACCCTCATATTTGCCTTTGTACTTGTGTCTTAATTGAATGAGTTGTCTCCCTTTTTAATGACAATCAGTTTCTCTCTTCTTTTTGTTTTGCACATGATTGAATTTTAGTTCCCATGTACTTTATTTATTTCTCCTTAATTCCCGTGATTTTCATTCAAAAGTGACTATCATTCGGAGATGGAGGGAGTAGTATGATTATTGAGAATAGACTTTAGCAAAATGGTGTTATGTCAAATTTCACTATGTATGTGTTGGTCTTTGCCCAATAAACATCCGTCATAAGCTACTCTTTTTTTTTTTTTTTTTTTTTGGTGGTGGTTGTTTGTCAAGGGGAACTACACCAAGTTGCCAACTAGGCTGCTTTTGGAGTTGTTATTACACTATTTGACCCTGTTTTGAGTAAAAATTACCCATGCCACGTGGTCCAGCCAGTAGACGACACGAGTCAGCCCAAGATAAGGCCAAAATAGACCTATCCCTATTTGACATGTGGCGCTCTCAGAGTTAAGGAGAAAAGACGGTCTTCAGGGTCCAAATCCCGAGAAAGTCGCAATGCGGCGCGGCCCATTAGGATTAGGTCGGAGTGACCTAATTAAGAGCACATTTACCAATGTTCTTATAAATAGGGAGATTTCCCCCATTTTGGCGACACCTATAATTATTACAACTACTCTACATTCTCTCACATCAGAGAAAACACTTGATCTCGGAATCCGAGAAGATCTCACATTTACCTTTTTCGCACCTTTTCATCTTCTACAACCAATACTAACTTGATCGTCGAAGGCGAAGCTCCTATCAACCGAAGTCTTCGTGTTTTGCAGGTACAAACAGCGCTGGACACCAATCTTAGAGACGTAACTCTCCCGAGGGACCAAATCACCCAAAACAGACCCTATCAGAATTTCTTATATGCGAATGACCACTTTTTTTGACTAGTTATATGCGGCTGGCCACATTTAATGACTAGGGATAATGGAGTTATTTAATTGGTGTTATAGGGGTTACTTAGTTAGTGTTATAGAAGTTACTTGGTCAATGTTAGATGGGTTACTTTGTCAGTGTTATAGGGGTTAGTCGGTCAATGTTACATAGTTACATGGTTACTTCGTTTGTATTATAAGAGTTATTTGGTCAGTGTTACAAGGGTCATTTCGTCAGCAATATAAGGGTTACTCGATTAATATTACAAGGGTTCGTTACTCGATTAGTGTTATAGAGATTACTTTGTTGATTTATCAACCATATAGTGTGGCCGGCCACACACAAGATGAGCTATGATATGACACTATAATCTATTTTTAAGAGAAAATACAAGTTTATCTCATGATAAACAAAATATTTTGGGAGAATTCTACAAAGTGTCTTCAAGGATTTAAAAATTCTACATGGTAGAAGGGCAAATTTCTTTTTCAATAAAATGACCCCCTAGTTTGGATTAATGCACGTAGTGATCTCATCATTGGCTAATTAAGTTTTTAATGATGCGTGGTTGTGGCTAGGTGGTGGGCTTGGTGATGGTGTAATGTTAATTAAGGGATAGGCTACGAATTTAATTAATGAGTAAGTTTGTAATTAGGTTTTTTAATGATTGGTTAGCCACTTAGCATATAAGGTTGCTATATATCTATACTAATATATTAAAAGGCGTTTCTAAAAACGTCTGTGTGTCACATAGACTCCTCATTGTGCCACGTCATATACTCAATTTCTTAATTTGCCATGTGTAGACACCTAAAAATGTCTCCCCAAAACCAAACTCGATGATGAACAACCTTTCACCGCCACTATTGGTCAGGTTCAGTATTTAATCCCGAGAGTGCTTAAAAAATCGTATTTGATTAAATTCATATTTTTGAACAGTCTATGGATTAGTCTTGATGTTTTGTAAAAGCATGGTTTTAATTTCAGCCCAAACTTATTATTTAATTTCAGCCCAAACCTTTTTTATTTTATTGTTTTATTATTTATTTTTGGCCCAAACCTTTTATTTTATTTCCTTATTTTAGCCCAAATAATAATAAATCAGAAAATGGCCCGAAATTATCAATCGGCACTTAAAATGCTGAACGAAATTAGGGTTTAAAATGTATTTAGACGGAAAAGCAGGCTGGGAATTCCCGCGCCACGGCAGGTACGCACCGTGTCACGGGAATCCTTCCCGTCTGACGGTGGGATTTCCCGTGACACGGGAATTTCCGTGTCTTTTCTGCGTAAACCCTTAACGCGTTTTCTTCCCCGTTTATTGAAAATTTCCCGCGTCACGCCAAAAATACACCGTGTCACGGGAATGATTCCTGTGTGACGGTGGGACTTCCCGTGTCACGGTACAGATTGCCGTGTTGTGGGATACTTTTTTAGGGTTTTTATCATTTTAGGGTTCCGTGTGCTCCCTCAGCACATTTTCCCTATAAATACCCCCTCATTTCTGATGTACGGGGCATCAATTAATTCTCTAGTTTTATTTTTCTCTCTTCTATGCTTTAACCTAAACACTAGCCTACCTTTCTCATTTCAAAATTCCTTCTTCAAGTGCTCAAATTAAAGGAGTCCATACTTTACTCGTGGTTCTGTCCTTAAGCCAAGGCGTGAAAGGTAGAACTTTTTGAGGGATTGGCCCCAAATCAACTCTACTTTGTTTAATTTAATTTAATTGTTGTTTTATTATTATTTCCTTGAAGTTACTAACTCGTTTATTATTTTGTAGTTGCAAACAAACAAAATCAAAGTAAGAATTATGTTCCTTTTATTTCTATTATTTTTCTAATGATTTTATATTGTTGGAATTATTTTTAAATTTCTTCCAATATTAATGTTAATTCTATTGTTATTATGATCACCATATTGCATGTTTAAAGGGAATATGTAATTGAAAATCACGCCTAATAAGATAATTTGGACAACCGATTTAGGTTCCTTTTTAATCTTGTTAATTAATTCAAGTGACCACAAATATTTTAGAATTATGTGTTGCATTAATATTCAACCAATTTAGCTTAATAATAGTTTGGAGCAAATTGAATATTTTGTTTGTATGCCTTTGAGATCGCAGGAATCACTTTTCACTACAAGAATCGAGTAGAGGCCAATACGGGCGAATGTGACTCCATGACTCACTTCGTACCATCATCCCCGATCCTCCTTTCGTGTTTCCGAACCATATGGAGTTAGTAATCTCATGGATTATGAATGGGGTGTAACCTTCACGGGTCACTCGTTGTTGCCTATAGTTGTCCCTTATCGTGGTTGCCTTTTATGATCCGTGAACGGTTTACAAGTTCCTTAAAAATATTCCTACTTTATTTGTCCCTAATCGTATTATGTCAATTCCAACTTCCTATGAGTGCCAAGCATATTCACACATGCTTTTTACGTAGACGCACATCGAGCGACACCTACAATTTGGCGACTCCACTGGGGAGGATTCTTGGTTATTTATCGATTTGAGTGATCGGTATTTAATTAAGATGAGTGGATGAGACTTGAATGATTCTTGAAATATATTCCTGTGATTAATTTGGCATTTTTGCATCTGCATAGAGGTTTTAACGTCGCATTCAGGTCTGTCCCGTAGGAAAAATTGAATAACTTTGTTGCGTACGAAGAAAAACAGGGCTCCAGTCAGATCTTCTGACTGCCGTGCCACGGTAAAATCTGATGTGTCACGGTACAGTGCACCGTCTGACGGTGCACAGTACCGTGGCACGGGAATTTTCGCCGTGTCACGGCAGTCCTAAAATCAGTCTGGTGGCTTATTTTCTCTTCTCACAGTCAACTTCCTTCGATTTTTCTGAAAAAACATATGAGTTCTACATGCGTCTTAGCCCCGGGGGATTTAAGCTCTATCAACCCAAAAACGCTCATGGCAATAAGGGTTCATCCGAGTCATTAAATGCACCCAAACCATGGAGTCGAGTTCGATTTCATCACGAACTCGCAGAGCCGCCCGTTGGCATACACCCTCAAGGGAGGCTGCCTTGCTACCGCGTCCAAACTCTTAACCATGGTACCCTTTGGACACACAAAGCTTGACCAATAGTTGAACATAGATCGTGACTCTAAGTTGCTAACTTTTTTTACATCATCGTGCCTAAATGCTATGTGATTGTTTGGTGCTAACCTTCATGTGTTTACTCTTGTGTTTAACCCATGACCGAGGGTTTTTATTTTCACATAGTAATTAGTATGGACCTAAAATCGATTAAAATCTGGAAAAATCACAAAAATGAACTGGAACTGTGCACCGTGTCACGGCATGTTCTGACGCGCCACGGTGAACAATGTCGTGACACGGGGCTTTCTACCGTCTGACGGTAAACTGCACCGTGTCACGACAGTCTGCACCGTGACACGGTGCCCAGGAAAAGAGTTCTGTCAGTTTTTTTTCAGTTTTTGTGCGAACGTATGTGGTTGTTGTGTCCAGTTTGGTGTCATGTCTAGCTGTACAGTCAAAACACGCGTCCATAACCTCACTTAATCACTCACATATCGTGTTCACACACTTTTTTTCCTTAGTCATGCACTACTTTTTGACCGTATTTTAGGGTAGTCTTGTTTTTTGTCGTTTTTTTTTTTCGGAGTAAGTCGGATGATGTCCTCCCATTTTTTAAAAAAATAATAATAAAAAAAAACAAAAATCTTTTTTCTTTTCTTTTTTTTAATCCGGATGGGTTAAGGTTAAGCGTGGTCATTAAAGGTGTGTTTGTTTCGGTGTCCCAGCACTTGGTCAAGAAGCAGGGGTAGATTGTTACGGTTCAATTCAATACCTCAACAACCTCTCATACCAAAGAGGCGTACAAGGAAACCACCTCAATCATCTCCACAAGATCCATCTCCAGTTTACTTTCAACCAATGGCTAATAAGGAAGACATCGAGAACCTCAACAAGACAATTGAAAAGTTGTCTAACATGATGCATACACTCACCACTCCAGTCAGCACGGTAGAACAAGACAGTCAAAACAATGTCACTACCGATGCAATGGACAAGATTAAGGAACAGATGAGCAAAATTTCTGAAGAATTCACTTATGTGGAACAACCTGTCACCTCTTCGTCCATAAGGGACAAGCTTCCTGAGAAGTTTTCCACTGCTGACATTCCCAAATTCAAGCCTACTGATAATTCGCTTTTCCATTTGAAGGCTTTTTCTGCAACTATGGCTCTTAAGGGAGTAGAGGTGACACTCTTCCCTACGTTGTTCCCTCTTTCCTTGGAGCATGCCTGTCAACAATGGTTCTATTCTTTGGAATCCAAACATGTCGCGACCTGGGAGGATGTTGCTGAGAGCTTCATAAATCGTTACAAGTGTAACATTCAGGCCAAAACTTCTGAACGTGAACTCTCCACTCTCAAACAGAAAGAGAATGAAGGCTTCACCACTTACTTAAGCAGGCGGAGGGAAACAACCGCGCTCTTGGTGGATCCCCCCAAGGAAAAGGAGATGGTTCGCTTGTTCATCGCCAATCTGACTCATAAGTACAAGCAACACTTGAAGTTTTTGCCTCTGAGTACCTTTGAAGCTGTATACGATATTGGAATCAATATCGAGGACGAACTAATGAAGACTACTGGTAGCAACAATAATAACAACACTTGGAAAAACAAGAAGAACGACACTCCTTCTTCTT